CCCCCCGGGGGAAACAAAGTCGGACCTACACCATTAAAAAAAAAAAAAAAAAAAGAAAGAAAAAAAGAAAAAGGAAAAAAAAAAGAAGAGATAAACCTAGACCTATTGATAGATTCCACAAATGCATCCTCAACTTGTCCAGTAGCGCTGCCTTTCTGATTGTATAGTTGTTTTTGCTCTCTCATCACCTTCTCCCCCGAGAATTTGGTGGAAGTCGTCAGTGTCGGGGAGGGAGTACCAAAGGCTTTAATTACTAGAGATGGCAAGATACTTTTTAACGAGTGTCAGAAGAGTGTACTGCTTGAGTCGGCGCAGACGTCTCGCACCAAACATTTGATGTCTTCGCCCCATTGCTCCTCTCCTCCTGCGCCCTCCGTCTCCAGCGTGCCTTGCTCTGCTCTTCAGAGCCCAGCTACGCCCCTGGAAGAAATCACAGTGTTTGGTACAAGTCTCACAAGGTCCAGCTTGTTAAGAAGATTTTGGTTTTTTGGTTTTTGGGGTGTTTTTTTTTTGGTTTAAAATATTTACTCACTTTGCAGACTGCAATATAACTTTTAAAGTACACTGTGACTGAGGTTTATGAAAGTTCGTATTTCCTGGCTGAACTGTATAGAGTCAGTCAAAATTTGTAAACAGGGTAGCAATCAGATATTTTTCTTCCATATATACAATAATTTTTTTAAAGAAGTGCAATTTGCGTTGCAGCAATCAGTGTTAAATCATTTACATAAGATTTAACAATGGTTTTTATATGAATGAATGAATGTAAACATTTTAACTTAATGGTACGTAAATAATTTAAAAGAAAAACTTAACTAGGCATCCTTAGGCTTTTTAGAGCAACAAAAACCCATCCACTTCCTGTATTTCCAGTTGTTAAAGCAAGAGTTTCAAAGAACAAGCCTTCTCTCAGGAAAATTGCCCTAGCCGTTTGCTCGGAAGTATTGTACAAAAATGCAAATGCATCCCTGGGGTTTTTTTGCCATTGAATAAGTACATGCTGGAAAGAAACAAATCACAATGAAACTTTACTACCTAACTGACACATATGTAAATACTCCATAAGATATTTAGGCATCTTGAAAATGTAGGATGCAATCTGTATAGTGTGATGGACGCATAGTTAGGTTGGTTTCCATTGGTTTTTAAGTGGGATGTCATTTGGAAAGCTGTTTCATCAGAGCTTTACAAATAAAAGGGTATCATTTTGGGATATATTTTTTTCCTGTACACTGTGCCTTTTCCTTCATCTCCAATGCAATTGTTAAGCTACATTATAAGCTATGGAAATGTACCTGGTACGGGCGCCGTGTCTGATCTGATGGCTGCAGGGAAGGTCTCCAGCTGAGGCGCCTGCTCTGGCTAGCTAAGTCTGCATTGCCTGTGGCTTTTCTGCAGCTCGCCTCACTACGCTTTCTGATGAAGGGTAAAACCAGGGCCCCGCTCCTACCAACACAAGCCCCTCATTGGCATGTGGGAGGTTTTTCTGGTGAAAGTCTGGGGAACTGCTCCCATGCCTTGTGAGGACTGTCATGGTTTTGCTTGGCTTTCATGCCATAGCTAAAGGGTCTCACCCAGGTCCCCTGTGTCTGCAAAGATCAGACCTGCCTGTCACCCACTGCAGATGTAACTGGGTGGCACAGCTGCGAAGAGAAAACAGTGAATTTTAGCTACTGAGGGGAATGGAAAACCTCTCGCTGGCTCTGAGGACCAATCCTCTGCATTGCTCGGCTGATTGAAGAGAGACAACGCCGCATGTGATTTCCAGCCACGTCAGCAGTACTGTCAGACCAGGAAGCCGGGATGCCCACCCTCCGTGCCCAGAGCTGCTGTCAACCCGTGGAGTGGCAGCAATGCATCTCTTCACCTCTCTGCGCCAGACTTTCATTTGGGGTGAATTGGGATAGCTCCTTGGCCTCTAGTGAAGCTATGCTGATTTGCACCAGCTGAGAATCTGCCACTTGGTTTTCCAACCCAGAGAGTCAAGGCCATCTCCTTACCGTGGAGGTGTCATGAGGACCATGGGATGGATGCTGCAGCACAGCCCTCGGAGGGGGAATGGCTTCCAGCAAAAAAGAGGTCAGGCCAAGCCTTGCCTGGGGATTGGGCTGCTCCGGCTGGCCAGGAGTGGGGACTCCTCACCCTTCCCAGTGGGGCTGTCATGCCAGGCTTGGTTCCGGGAGATGTCATGTCCTTGCTCCCTGGGGGTTGATGTGGCCGCGTACCCTAGTCCTGGTAGCCTTGGGGCCATGTGGGCTTGGATCTCATGATTTTAAAAAAATAAATCCCTATCTAAATGCAAAGTGAGCCAGTTTAGAAACATTGGGTTTAAAAAGAAAAAGGTGTGGAGAAGTGGGTGAATATCTTCCCTTTTGATGCATTTGTTGGCTAAAATGCCCTTTTCTGTGATTTTACAGTGTTGTCACCTAAACAGATAAAAAAGATTTTGCTAACTGGTGTTGAAGAGTGTTCGGCCTTAGGTGGGGGCAGCATTCTTTTTTGTCCTGTTTTCTTGCCAGGGGTGAAGTTTGGTGTGCCAATTCTGAAAAGCCTAGTGCAAAACTCACTGCCGGGTATGTCAGAGCTGCGTTACTCAGAGTTATCGTAAAACAGGAGGTTTAGACCATCGTGTCCCAGTTCTGATCTGCTGACCCAGCAGAAAAAGTCAGCTGGCTGCTGATGCTCTTGCTGGCAGCCTGTGAAAGGCCACCATTCTTTGAAACCCCGTGGCACGATGTCAGAGGGCTCCCGGGAGGCCCTGCTCCCTTCTCAGCACCACCTTAACCCAGGGGCTGGCTTAGGGTGATTCCTGCAGACAACAAGGCTCGCAGGGGGTGTAAAAAGATACCCTATGTGAAAAGACCCCTCTTGGATCTGAGGCTGAAAGTGCTCTTTTAGGTGATGTCGGGGGGGGGGAATGGAAAAATATAGAAAAAAGAATCTTCCCTAGGGATGGTGTTTCCCATTATTTCTTCTAAGCAAAAACATAAAGAATGAAATACTTTGCCTCCTTGGAACAGAAGCAGCGCTAAATCAGGTTTTTATCCCTCTGCAAGAGGCAGCGGGTAGGGGAGCAGTACCATGTTGCCTTACTGCATAGATGCCAAGGAGCTCAAATCCAGGTTCTGTGTTATGATTTTACGTAGAAAAAGACTGTAAGAACAGTACCTCTCTACTCATCAAAACTGCTCTCCAAAACTGTAATGATTGCTGGAGTGGCTGCTGCTTGACAAAATAAAGGTTTCTTTTTTATTTCTTATTTTTCTTTTTGTGTTTTAGTCCTGCTGAGCTGGCACGACTCTGGGTGTGTGAGCCGGACTTTGCTCTGGCTCATACATCATCAATAGTACTGATACTGATGGGCGGCCTGGCCAGATGTTTCCCTCGCGTATCCCTGTTTCTTTTCAGTGACAGCCCCTGGGATGGGCTGAGAAACAACAAAGAAAGAGTTTGACCATGGGTCTTGGTTCCTAGTGAGGCTGAACAAGCCAGACTGTCCCCAGAGCAGCATTCTAGTACCAGAATGAAGATTCAGAGTTGACATTTGGGGGGAGAAAAAAGCATATGGTTACTTGTCACCCTAGCACCTTTGGAAACAACGAAATTAAATAGCAAATGACTCGAGGCATCTGCTTCAGGCTCTCCCACCAAGCAATACTAGAAGGCTTACATTTGCTTGGGTGGCCCCTGAAGAGCAGACTTCTCCTGGCCGTGGTGTTACCTTTGGCTCCAGCCTTCCTTAGGTCTCAGTTTTTGTCTTAGCAGTGTTACCGTCACCCTCACCCATGATCATATTTTTTCTATTCAAAGTACTTGAAATAAGTTGAGATCCCTACCATGGTTCAGAGTGGTATTTTTCAGCATGGCATTGAGGGTGTATACTGGTGCGGGTGGAGGTATGTGAGGGTGCATTAGCTGCATGGCCTGGGTTGGTGACCTGGGTAAAGTGGAGAGAACCAGCCTTGGAACAGCTTGCCCAAAGGGAGTAAGAGGTGCCTGGCTGTTTCCAGAACCGCAGATGGGCTTTTCATTACATGTGGATGATCAGAGGGCAAGGATCCGGGTGTGAAGTGATGAGCCAAAGTAGCTCCTTGGTTTTGGTTTTCTTGCTGCAAAGCTAGACAGAGCCACATGCCAGCCCTGTAACATCTGCCATATAGAACCTGGGTAATTTACTGTCTGTTCCTGCATAAAAATGATATCACTTCTGCTCCTTTCCCAGAGAAGAAGGGATTTAGGGGTTACGCATTGTCCCTGTTACCATGAGCCTTAGCTGAGCACAGGCTGCAGAAACCCAAAATGGACTTCAGCTCTTCCTGTGTGCTTACAGCTCCAGATCTTCCTTATCCAGCTGTCCTGAACTTCATTCCTCACAGATCTCCCAGTTCCTAAATCTGTATACACTGGACATTCCAGGGTTGTGTCAAATTCACTGAATTCCATATTAAAATATAGGGCAAGGGTTATTGCAGTGGGCCAGCGAGCAGGAAACTGAGGGCTTGAGGAGTAGTTTCAAGTGGTCCATGCTCCACATGTTGCAAAAGGCTTGAGGTCTTCGCTACGTGTTTGCAACATGGTTCGGAATCATTTAAAGATATCTGATAAAAGTTGGTGTAATAGATAGGAGAGGGGAGCAGGATTTAAGTGCCCACATGGACGTGCAGTCAAACACAAGTCATCCTAGTAATGTAGTAACCAAAGGTGCTAATGTACTTTTTGAACAAATAAACAGGAAAATACCGAGTAGGAGTAAGGAGGTAATTTTACTGTGGAATGCTGAATCCAGACCTGGCACGCACATTTGAAATGGATGTTGAAAAACAGGTGAGGGTAGGGAAAAGAACTGCAGAAATTATTTCAGGACTGGGGAAAATGTCTGGCAGTGACAAATTTAAAGACGAGTTCACTGAGGGTATC